TAGCCTAAGTGGGCCGGGTTACCCTAATTTGGAGTAGCCGTAGTCACGTGCCACGTGACTTCCCCGGATAACAATATATATATCATTTGTTTAAATAAAAATTGTTGATAAAGTTTTGAGATATTCAGTATGTATAATTTTTGCGGTTGAAGCTGGAAATTTTAAATATAGTACATTAGGCGAAGCAAAGTAAATTTTCTGGTTTTCATATCATATATAATTTTAAATGACCCGCCAACCCGGATTTTATTTTGCTATAATAAAAAAAATTTTTTATTTTTATTTTAAAAATTTTATTTAAAAAATGTTATTTAAAAAATATATATTTAATATCGAAAAAAATTTAATATTTATAAATGTATACATATATATTTAATATTTAAAAAATATAAATACTTCAGAAAAATTAAGAATAATCGTGCAACGCATACATCAATAAAGCAAATACGATAATATTGTGCAAGATCAACAACGTATCCTTTTTTTCAAAAAAAAATCGTATCCTTTTTTAATAGAAAAAGGTAATACACGAATCATGAACATGTGCCTGCTAATTAAATAAAACCCAAAAAATGAACTATTAAGTGTGGTAACGATTACGATTAGACTTGTTAGCAAAAGGTGGTTACTTATTACTCCTTTTATAACTGTCTGGCTTCCATTTCTGTCATTTTTTCGGTGTTATATTGCCATCACAGTTACCACATAGTGGTCGCTCAAGCTTTTCCTCAGGTTTATGGGTTTCTTTACTTCCACATTGATAGCAAATGATAGGATATATTCCAGTGGAGTAATACGGCTTCTCAACAGGTGAGTTACATGACTACGAATCATTGACAAAAACTTTTTCAAAGCTTTTTTGAATTGGATCTTCTAACACAGTTGTAATTTCAGTATTGGAATTATTATTACATATATATTCGAATTCACTATCGGCTTTACTATCAGATTCACTACCAGATCCACCAATGGATTCATAATCGTAATTCTACATATTTTTTTTATTTTTGTTTCAATGAATTCTTTTCACCTTATTGCTATTTCAATATACACATACCTCTGAAAAATAGCTTGGTCCTGTGGATTCATTACCCTCATTTTCACTACTATCTTCAACCATCATGCATTCATTTGTTATATTTATTGGTTGTTTCATTATAGCATTGATTGGATCACAAACATCGTTGAAAGACATTCCACATGTATATAAAATAGTATCAAGAAAGGTTTTTAATATTTGCTGTTCATTTTTTAAAAGTTTTTTAGAACTAAATAAAAGGCGTGGCTTTCCACATTCAACATAAGTAACCGTAATACTGACATTTTTTGCCCAAGCTGCAGTAGGGCAAAATGGCATAGTATGATTTCTTCTTGGACTAGTAGTCTTTGATTTGCTTTCTTTTGATTTTTACAACTTAGCTTCTTTAAGTGAAAGTCTATGTTCCTCACTTGTAACTGTTTCATATAGTTCATCAAATGATTTATAATAAAAGTTTTCACCTGGAACTGGGTCATGAAGACAGTAAAGTTGTTCAAATTCTTCTTAAGAACAACAAGGTGGTCTGCATATTGTGCAATTATCCTTTTCACATTTTTTGATTACAAAAAAATAATGCTGTGCTATGCAGCAATACTTCATAAATTTCATTAATTGTATTTGTTCAAAAAAGTTTTAGTATTTTTCTTATTTAACATATTTCTAATAAAATACTTACTCTAATTTTTATATTTTTTGGTATATAATTATCTTGAGATACAGAATCATCAACTAATTTTATCGTTTTTCAAAATTGGTCAATTTCTTCCTCTACTGCTACATCAAAGGTTTTAAATAGCACCTCCTTTAGAGATTGGTGCTTAAATATATTGCAAACAAAATTAATTGGCTGTTGAATACTCTCAATCAATACAATTTTTAAAGTTGGATGGTTTTTCACTATATTACAAATTTCATTCATTATACCCACTTTGCTAATTAATACTTCAAATTCATTGTTCATTTTACTATGCATTAGATCAACACATTGTAATCCAAGATTAAAAGTGGACATTACATGTTCAATAGGGTTTTTCCATAAGTATTATGATGATGTTCTTATAGCAATGAAATAGTCAAGATCCAGTACTAAAAAAAAACAAATATATGAAATTTGCACCTATGCAAATGTGTAGCAGTAGTCAGGACCACTATCAGTATAAAGACATAATATAGATTTATTATTAATATTTTTATTAAGCAAAATATTATATAGCTTAGTTGCATGGCATAATGATGATAAAGGCTGAAAAATAGGTTCTTTTAGTCCTATATATATTTGGCCTGCATAAAAGTCTCCACTAATTGATTCTGGATAGTGCATATTATAGAAACACTTGACACTATTCCAGTTTTGGTATAATCATGATCTCCAACCATAAATGCTTCATCTTTACTAATAATAACTTGCTTTTCTCTTTCTATAGCTACAACAGAAAACCCCAGCTCTCCAACTTTACATCTGTGTTTGTCATCCAAGAATGCAAACATCATAATATTATGAAAGTTTATTGCAAATTCTTTTTTATATCGAAAAAGTGCTAATGCATAATATGCATTTGGATGATGAGTATGAAGTTGTTATGTCTGTACTATAAATTTAAAAGGTAACTAGCCCACATATTGCAAGCTAGAAAGAGTAGACAGATTCTTGGGTCAAAATTATAATTGTAACCATTGCATACTTGGAATTAATACATCAGGTGAACATTCATTTTTTATTTGGAGCTGTAAATCATTTACAGAAATTGCCATAGCTAAATGCACAATTATATTATGATGACATTCATCAATAGCAGTAACTAATTTAACAGCTTTAATTTCAAAAAAGTGGCTTGCAATATTCCAAAATTCATTGTATTTTTTGAGTCTTCTATTATTATGTTCACGTAAGTCGAATACAATATCAGAATCATCTAAGTTTAAAGTTAACTTAATATGTGCATTCACTTCTGCTTCATTGGTTGATTCTGCTGCAGATGTATCACCAGTTAACATTCTGTAAATAGTATGAAATGGTGACATTTTTACTTTTGGAAGGAGCAAGTCACATGTACATATATAATTAATCTTTATTGCTCATGTGTGGTATTTTGGGACTTCATTTCGAAGTTGATTCATAATATTTAAATTATTTTGAAACACTTGTTCTTCACTCAAATTCTCATCAATTTTCTAAATTAAAATGGATAAAATGTATTATTTCCAGAATTAAAATGATACTTCCCAACTTTAAATACAAATGTATGCTGCAAGCCTTATAGATATTGTATTCTTTGTCTAAATATAAAAGATATTATAACATTAAATTAAAAATGTATATACATATATATAGCATATACAAGAAATATACAGCATGTTAATTGGCAATATTCCTCTAAGTTAAGTAGTTTCCAATATTCTATATATAATAATATATGTTCCAACTGTTAATATTTAATTTTATCTGTCAGGGTAATCCAAATATTACACTTATGAATTTTAACTGTTATTATTTTTTCAGAACTTCAAATATAATTATCCAATGCAGAATTTTTTGATATGATTTCTTGTTGATGTTGTAAAAATCCAACATATTGTGATAGTACTATAACAAAATTATTAAGAGGTTCATGTAACCAACTAAATATTGCAGAAAACATCTATGGAAATACAACATAAGAAGCCAAAGCCTGACAATGAATATTTAATTTCTATGTATTAAAAGGTTTTCGTGCTTCTTTGTATGATTCAGGATCAGCTCGATTAAAAAACTCTATAAAAATATCTGAAATATGGTAACTATGATTTTCTAATTTATCATAACCATGCATATCAACATACAGATTGTTTCTATAAGACTTGTAATAAATTCTTTTCCTTGACTATTAGTATATTCTTCTGATTTCCATCCTCCACTATGCTGGTGTATCCATTTTACAATATTATATTGCAATAGTTGTTTTCAGTTTGGTTTTTTATAGTATAAAAAGTTTGATAAATAAAGTTGTTTGCCTTTATTTCTCACAGATTGTATAAGAACATCAAAGTTATTTCGTGGTATTGAATATATAGTTGAATCTATCTCATCATCTAGATGAAAATAAATATTAGTGTCAAATGTATTTAGAAGTTCAATAATATTACAATCTTGGCTTGCTTGAATAATAGCACTGGTAGGTGTTTGACTTATTTCAACACATTTAATTTTTTCAGAGATACTTAAATCAAATAAAAAATTAGAGGATATTTCACCATATACAAGTTTTTTAAAAAAGTCTCTAACAGTCATTTCATGCAGAATCAGATAAATATGCTAATCATAAAATGTTTTTATAATACATGTATTGGCAAAAGGTATTGTAAAAAAATTTTATTTAATATGGTTGATTCAAAGTTTGTTTTTTTTTGTTTTTGTATATATTAAAAATGAGGCATTTAAGAAAAGTATTATTTTATTAATTCATATATTAATTTTTTAGTAATTTTAAAGTTAAAATGACAACTTGTATGTATTACTAATATCACTCTTTATTTATAAAAATCTCAAATATATTTTTGCAAACTATAGGGCCTGATGTTATCTCATTACTTTATTCATCTATCAATCTGTGGTATAACAATATATTGACATTGTTATTCTTCTGTTTGCAGATTTCATATGCTAAGCAGAATAAATGAATTAGTATTAAATAAGTGTGTGAAAGCGAAAACTTGCAGTTGCATAACTATAATAAGTTTCAGGGTTTTATTCTTACACAAAATTAGCCACGATCATATGTATATATACATTAATTTAGTCTTTTGTACATATGAATGTACTTATCATTATTATAGCATATAATCAGCAATCATGTTTCTTTAATAAAGTTAACATATGAGATAATGATAAGTTTGATTTATTGTTATTGTCATTATTCTTTCAAAGATTGAGCTTATATAGTTGCTATTATTTCTAACACTGTTAGAAAGAATTCAGATAAGTACAATTTTAATTGGTTGCTTTATTTAGATTATGACAATCATTAGTAATAGCTCTATTGTTAAATTAAACATGTTCAAATAAACATACCATGTATGTACATGCATATATGCAATGCTTTTATTTATTCAAACTGATTATGTAATACTCTATAAGTGCACATTATTGAGAATAGAGAAAGAGAAAGTAACATGACTTAGCATTAAATAAATTAATTATATTTATATATATATCATTAATTATATTATATTACACAGAATTTAGAAGTGCATTTATAATTTGTATATACTATACTGTATTTTGATTGGTTATTAAATAAAAAATTCTAAATTTTAAATTACCAAAAATTGACCTAGCTGGGATATGAAAACCAGAAAATTTACTTTGCTTTATTTAAATTTATATATTTTGAAAATTTTTATATGATTATACTAAATTTATATTAAATTCTAAAAATGATTTTCTTAATAACTACTAAACTAAATTAAATGAAATTTAAATTATATATGGATATGATATAATACTATATTATATTAAAATTTTAGCTAATTTGGATTAGTAGATCTTTAGAAAATACCTATATACTATAAATACTTTTTTTAAAAACATAAAATTTGATTTTTATACAATTACTCAAAAACTACAAATCCAATTTAGCCAAAATTTATATATATTTTGATTCTATATTATACTTATCTATAATAGAAATTTTAGAAAATTTGGATTAGTAGGTGTTGAGAAAATAATTACTGGAAGTAGCCAATTTTTCATATATTTTTGAACCTTTAATTTTGTATATTTTTTAGCAAAATTTCAAAATTTAGCATCTTTTTTGTAAAATCAATTAATATAACCTATTAATATACTTTTTTAATATAAGTTTATACCTAGAATCAAATTACTTAGAGCATAAATATAGAATTAATTAATAAAATTTTAAGAATCATAAGATTTTCAATAATTTTACTAATTAAAATATAGAAAATCTTATTATTCTCAAATTCTTACTAATTAATTTATTTTGATGCTCTAAATAAATTTGTTTTACATATAAAACTACATTATGCTAGTATATTAAATTTCATATTTCTTAAATTTTAAAAAAATGATGCTAAATTTTAGTTTTTTTGATCAAAAAATTTAAAATTTGGTATCAGTT